AGAAGCTCCATGTACACTTTGGAGGACAGCCCACAACAACAAGTCTATCAACAACCTCACTAGCTCGGTCAATGTTCTACAGCGAAACTACCGAAGATGACCAATGTGATAAACAACCTTCGAAATAATAAGTCGTGTGGAAGTGATGGTGTGTCAACAAGAATTGTTAAAAGTGTGTGTCATCAAATTGCAGGTCCACTAGCGGTGCTCATAAACATGTCGGTGCATCAAGGTAAATTTCCTAAAAATCTTAAATTGGCCATTGTGGTACCTATATTGAAGAAGGGAGATCCCTCTCAAGTCGAAAACTACCGTCCAATATCTCTTCTGTCAGTTTTCTCAAAGATATTTGAGAAAGTGCTGCACGCGCGCATAGCTAGCTATACTGAAAAATACAATCATCTCCAATAACCAACATGGGTTCAGGAAATCACGCTCGATTGAGACAGCCCCTTTTGATTTTATTAACCACATATACCGAGCAATAGACTTGGGCCATCTAGTTGCTGGAGTATTTTTCGACTTGGCCAAAGCGTTTGATATCATTAATGTAGATTTGCTAAGGGAGAAACTTTTCAATATAGGTATTAGAGACTTCTTGCTGGACTGGCTAGTGTCTTTCCTGACAGACAGGGAACTTAGAGTAAGAGTGAACGATGCGCAGTCAGCTACCTATAAAATAAATCTAGGTGCAGCTCAGGGATCTGTATTGGCACCACTTCTTTTCATCTTATTTATAAACGATCTGAAGCTTTCAGGTGCAGTAGTGAACTACGCTGATGACACATCGGCTGTAGTAACTGCAGATCTGTACCTTAACATTGGAATCATAAAATCTGAGATGGAAGAGTGGTGCCAAACAAATCGTCTGATCTTGAATGCTGACAAGGCGGTAGTTGTTCACTTTTACTCCAGTACTCCACGTCTCATTAACAGTACTATCTCAGGCTCTACCACCTTCCTGGGTATTGAGTTGGATGCAGGATTAAATTGGAAACAAGTTGACAGTGTATGTAGGAAAATCAATACGTCCTACTATGCGATATTGAGATTAAAACCAAATGTCCCCTAATAAACGCTGATAGATGTGTACTACGCAATGGTGTATTCGCATCTGTCAAATCACACCATCGTCTGGGGACAAGCATGCACCGCGTCCAGAGTGTTTATTTTGCAGAAACGTATTGTAAGGCTGATATTTAACATTGAAAGGAGAGAATCATGTAGAGCAATATTTCAGCATGATAACTTGCTAACGCTTCCGAGTATATATATTTATAAATGCGCCCTCTACACCTTCAATCACAGGGGCCAGTTTCTGCAGAACAAGGACTTAAACACGAACTACAACACTAGAGCGAAACAGGAGTTGAGTATACCTTCGCATACACTGTCAATGTTCGAAAAATCACCAGCCTACGCCTGCACCAATAAGTTGCCATCAATACTAAAAGATATTAGATGCTCAAATAGGTTCAAGAAAGAGCTGAGGAATCTGCTAATAGAAAGATGCTACTACTCAGTAGCTGAGTTTCTTTCAGGGTAAGAGTGATGCACCTAAAAATTAAATAGGAAACTATGGCTGTGTATATATGTGTGTTTATATATGTGTATATATATGTGTATATATATGTATATGTGTATTATGTATGTGTATATATGTGTATATATATTTACTCGTATATATCTATTTTTATTGTACTTACTTCTTTTACACCTTGTTCCGTTTATTATTGTATCTGCTTGTTTAGTGTATGTTTTCTTTCGTGCGCACATGCGTCCTTTGCCCTTTCTCGACTAAACTGCGTTTCTTTCCATTTTTAATCCGACAAATTTATGTATTTATACTTAATTATATTTTTAATTTTTGTAGATAATAATGTACTCATAGAGATATGTCTGACGAGTCTTATATCATTCCTATGATCCGAAGACAATAAAGCATATATCTATCTATTTAAGAGGTTTCTTATCATTTTCCCAAAAATGTTTGTACTAGTTATTCCTATCCCTAAAATTAACAAACCAACCCAGCTTTCAGATTTACGACCAATAAGTTTATTGCCGGTGTTATCAAAATCTTAGAAAAGATCGTTCAGATTCAAATAACTGCTTACATTGAAGAATGCAAAATCTTATCCACTAATCAGTCTGGTTTCAGAAAACACTATAGTACAACAGCTGCCTTATTAAATCTATGCGACAATGTGCTACGTGCGCTTGATAAAAAGATCACAGCAGCTTTGATATCGGTTGATTACTCTAAGGCATTTGATAGAATCAATCATATCCTTCTTCTAGCTAAATTGAAATATATTGTCTTTGATAATACCTCACTTAAATTTTTCTGTGCGTATTTAACCGACCGTGTTCAGGAAGTTTCTCTATCTAGACAGAGCTCTGTCCCAAGTGTCATACCATCTGGAGTGCCTCAGGGTTCTATCCTAGGTCCTCTCTTATTCCTCATCTACACCTTCGATCTATATGCAGTAATGGAAAATTCTGAAATGCAATCTTTTGCAGACGATACCCAAATAGTACATTATTTTAAAGCTAGTGAATTACCAACAACCAATATAGAGCTACAACATGATATTGACATGGTTTGTAAATATTCAGCCGATCATAATTTATTAGTTAATCCTGAGAAGTCAAAAATCATAGTTTTCTGTTCTGATAATAAAAGAAACTACGTAAAAGGTAACCTTAATATCTTTATTGACAGAAATCTTCTTCAGGTTGGTACTACTGCCAAGATTTTAGGTGTCGAGGTCGATGAGAAGTTAAGGTTTTATAATCATATCAACTGTCTTGCTCAAAAAACCTACCTCCGCCTACGCACTTTGTACTCTTGTAGGTACTTACTGAACTATAAGCTGAAGAAAAAACTCTGTGAAACGCTAGTGATGTCTTGTTTGAACTACTGTTTCATCCTTTATTTCCCATGCCTTGACAAAATAACGAAAAATAGAATTCAAATTATACAGAATAATTGTGTCCGTTTTATATGTGGATTGAGAAAATTTGACCATGTATCACAGAAATACAGTACGCTGAAATGGCTCAAATTTGATAAATTGGTCGAATATCACCATCTAGTATTTATTCACAAAGTAATAACCACTTCAAAGCCTGCCTACTTGAGAGAAAAAATTCTATTTAACTTTGTTGTTCATGATCGGTTGCTTAGAGATAGGTTGAGTATCAGAATTCCGCCTCACTCTACAGTCTTATTCACCCGCAGTTTTTCTTATAATTCGGCAGTTCTATATAATTCGTTGGAATATTCCTTTAAATGTATGAGCTTAGCAAGTTTTCGTAAGCATGTAAGGATCAGGCTGCTTGACTGATACTATCCTTTCCACATTCATCATCCAATCAGACTTTATATTTATTACGTTGAGAAGCTAATATTATTATTAGGCGCATGATATATATGTATATATGTATATAGGTATGTGTATGTGTGTGTATATGTGTATATATGTGTGTATGTATGTATGTGTATATGTATGTACATGTGTGTATATATGTATATGTATATATGTTTTGAATTTAATTAACATCACTGTATTTATTGATTCAGCTGGTTAAGTGTAAGAGTAGCATTGCTAAACTTCGCCAGTTGAGTCCCACTTTCAGTATGTACCATGTACATATTTTTTTGTAATAAAGGCGTATATTATTATTATTATTTTTAATTTTTGTAGATAATAATGTACTCATAGAGATATGTCTGACGAGTCTTATATCATTCCTATGATCCGAAGACAATAAAGCATATATCTATCTATTTAAGAGGTTTCTTATCATTTTCCCAAAAATGTTTGTACTAGTTGAAAATCGGGAGTTGGTGGTTGTAAGGGATGGGGGAGGGTATATCTCATTTTGTTGTCAGTAGCATATTTATATGCTCCCAACTCCAGTAATTTTACGCACCTATCAGTACATATTTCACACAAGATTTCCCCGTACATTTGCACTTATAAAATGGAAACTATGGAGTATGTACGAATTGTATATGGGCCTGTTTGGCTGACCTGACCCATTTAATTTTTTTGTTATACTAATGTGTAGTTAGCTTAAGGGACCTAACGTGTGCCGAACATGATCCTTTATTAACTATGACAGCGTTGCGTGGGAAGTGCAGAATCAACCTACTTTTTTCGTGCTACATGACATGTACTGTCTCCTTAACCGTTCCGTAACTCTGAAACTACCGCTCTGATTTTAATCAGATTGTGACATAAGGTTACTGCGAGGATAGAAACGCTTTGAGGATTTTGAAACTTGATTGTGGTGGTGGAACTACGGGCAAAAAATGAAAAAGTGACACACTTTGTTTTTCGACGTTTATGAGACTCATTTTTTTACAAGGTGAAAATTGGGGGTCGTGGTCATAGAAGAAAGGGGTTGAAAATATTGCATCTTTGGAATCAGTGAAAGACGTTTGATTATCAAGAAACTCTGATTCTGGTAAACGCTACGCACCTGTCGGATACATAGTCGCACACAGTTTACATATGTTTGCCGTTGAGACCAAAATACGATTTAAGTACCCTAGCTATTTCCTATAGTTCAATATGTAGAGGCTTACGATATGTCTTACTTAAGTGAGAAAAATCTAGTGAAGTTTAGAATTATTACTTCTGCTGCATCCAGTAACTAATACTGTTTAACATTTAAAATAGAAGGAACAGAGTCGCCACAAACTTTTGTAAACCTGTAAGGGGTTTATCTATCCAACACGAGGAATTTGATGACAGAATATATTCAAGTTTATCAATCCTAACGAGAACCACGAAGATGTTCACTTTCGCGTAAACAAACTATTTTATAGAACAAGTTGAAACTTGTAATACGGACAAATTGCATGTGCATCTTTTGCAGGAATTATCAATTTTCGCTGATTGGAGCGCCATGTCTTTGTTAGGTCGAGCCGAAAAAGCACAGCTATCCGTCTGTTTGAACCTGGAAATCACTCTGTGAACGACCTGAAGTATGACACATCTAGCCACATCTAGCCATCCAACGCGACAAACGTCATCGACCTATCAAAAGGTTCCAGCACAAGGTACATGTGGATTCCAAACCAAAAATTTGCCGTTATGTTCGCATCATCGAGCTCTTCTTTGAGGATCCAGGCGATCGATCAGGACAAGATCGTACCGTTATCCACTTTAACGTTGCCGACCTTGTCCAGACAAGTGAAAATCAGCCAGATCAGTTGGTGCTACGACAATAGCTACATTGCTATGGTCCAGGAAGGGGCCCATCCACATATTGTGAATGTGAAGGATAAACGGAATATCAGTCTGGTCCATACCATTCAAGTTCTCAGGAATGTTACAGCGCTGTGTTTCAAAAACAATACCAAAAGGTAATTGATAGAATAGTAGGGGAAACACGAATAAAGCGAAAATCTCGAGAAACGATATCCCGTTTTAGACCAAAACAATGGATCTGTCATCGAGAAAAGGTATTAGCGTCTATAATCGAAAATCAATTGTGGGAGAACATACTTGTCTTATTTGTCTACCAGACAACAAATTGTATTTTTTGATACAAACTGCTTTTTAAGATCGGCATGGGTATCACGTATATTGAAAAGTGACATTATGCCTTTTTTTTTGACATTATGTAGGTTTTTCTACAAGATATTAGCTTAGCACTTAGTTGAACGTGTTGTCTAAACGTCATGAGGCTCAATCTTTGGTTTTAATGTGATGTAAAATCTGCTTCTGAGATGGCATTACTGGAGGTCTAAGCTGTAAGTTGTATGCGTTGATGATAATTACATTGGGTTCTTGTCTCAAGTACATTTAGTTGAGATTCAAAGCTAGAAATTAATTGCGCAGCCACTTTTTCTTATCCATTCTGGAAATTACATAAACAAATTTGCTGAATTTCAAAAATGAGAGAGATAAATAATTATATTCACTGTACACTGTCGAATTACAAGCCATATACGTGCCAACAGTAATTACACACAACGCGGGCGCGGTGATGATTTCCCGTAATTCTCTTCAGTTTTTCGTTATTTATAACTTTGAACATAACCTGTCTTCAGGAAACACAACATAACAATAACCCGTCGAGCACAGCCAATAGATATACTTCATTGGCAGCATATTCAGTAATGATTTTCTCACACAGCAGATATCACAGATTTTATACATATGCAGACCAATACACATAACCATCCAGTTTAGTTGAGTGATTCCTCCTTAGATGGACGTTCACAACGATCCTAGTGAGCAAACGTGGAATGACTGTTTGCGCCCTAAAAGCTACCTAGTTTGCATGATGACATCTTATTGTTTTTTTTTTGACGTTTTATAGGTTTTTTTATATGATTCCCGTGCGGATCTAACGTAGATCTGAAGCACTTTTCCAGCATAAGAGGAGGACTGAATCACTAGTTTTGGTAGAAAACAAAAAACTCTTAATAGGCTTCGGGCAAAGCGGGCAGGACAGAGTGGGAGAAAAGTGGATATTGTGTTCGCTCCTATAAATTACTCTTGTTGTTAGTAAATTTAAAATTTGAGTTTTTGTATGTTTATTTGTAGATAGTATATAAAACATGGTCAAAAATGAGAATGGATCCTGTTAGTACAGCCTCAATCAGTTTTTGTATACTAAGTGACATATAAATCCGAACACCCAGTTCAAATGGTTTTATTTTAATAAAATTTTGTATGTATAAGTACTTAATGAAGCATAATAAGTAAATGATAAAAATTTCAAAATGATTGCACTGGTTTAAAGCCCTTTGACCTTTAATAATGTGTGGATGCACCCTGATGTGCTACGCATTCTCCAACGCGCCTAGGCATGCTTCTGATCAGGTGGTCAATGTCCTCCTGTGGTATCTCATTCCAGGCAACCACCAACTCCTCTCGAAGTGCTTCTAGAGTCTGAGGAGGACGTTGCAAATTGAGCAATCTCCTACCCATCATATCCCACACGTGCTCAATTGGGGATAAGTCGGGAGATCTTGGTGGCCATGGTAACAATGTGACATCATTATGTTGGAAGAAGTCTATTGTGACTCTTGCAACATGTGGTCGGGCATTATCTTGTTGGAAAGTTGGATCTGCCAGGGTGTCAAGATAGGGTAAAAGATGGGGTTCTAGAACTTCGTGGATATAACGCTGCGCGTTCTTGTTACCTCTGATGAAGATTAAAGGTGACCTGGAACCATAAGCTATAGCACCCCAAACCATAACTCCAACAGTGTGATGAACATGTCTTTCAACAGAAAACTGTGTATTCCTCCTTTCACCATGTCGCCTTATAACCCTTACACCGACGTAATCGCCTTGAGTGGTGCAGGCAACGGTCACTCTGGGATCAGGAATGGAACAGTATTGTCTTTAGTGACGAGTCTCGATTTTGTTTATACATGCACGATGGTCGTGCCAGGGTTAGAAGGCGACGTGGTGAAAGGAGGAATCAACAGTTTTTTGTTGAAAGACATGTTCATCACACTGTTGGAGTTATGGTTTGGGGTGCTATAGCTTATGGTTCCAGGTCACCTTTAATCTTCATCAGAGGTAACATGAACGCGCAGCGTTATATCCACGAAGTTCTAGAACCCCATCTTTTACCCTATCTGACACCCTGGCAGATCCAACTTTCCAACAAGATAATGCCCGACCACATGTTGCAAGAATCACAATAGACTTCTTTCAACATAATGATGTCACATTGTTACCATGGCCACCAAGATCTCCCGACTTATCCCCAATTGAGCACGTGTGGGATATGATGGGTAGGAGATTGCTCAATTTGCAACGTCCTCCTCAGACTCTAGAAGCACTTCGAGAGGAGTTGGTGGTTGCCTGGAATGAGATACCACAGGAGGACATTGACCACCTGATCAGAAGCATGCCTAGGCACGTTGGAGAATGCGTAGCACATCAGGGTGCATCCACACATTATTAAAGGTCAAAGGGCTTTAAAGCAGTGCAATCATTTTGAAATTTTTATCATTTACTTATTATGCTTCATTAAGTACTTATACAAAATTTTATTAAAATCAAACCATTTAAACTGGGTGTTCGGATTTATATGTCACTTAGTATATATAAAACCGCGAATTGATAAAAACAACCGTCTTAGTACGTACGAGTATATTATCCTGGTTACTCTAATCAGTATATATGTTGCAGTCAATATTCATAATCGGTCAAAAGCACTTTTGATCGCAAAAATCGTACAGAAGAGGTTTTGGCCGATGCTCCTGGACAAAACCTTTGACTGATTTTTGCATTCAAAAGTGCTTATAACTGACGTTCTTCATCAAAAGTGGTTTTGCCTGACTAGGACCCTCGAGCTTTGAAAATCCTAGATTGTCGGAAAACCTCATCTAATGTAGGAATGTAGTCCTTCCTTTGGAAACGACAAATTAAAATCTAAATCATGATTTACGTCGTCCAAATTGTAGATTAGCTAAGGAGTAAATTATTTGTCTTCTTATTCAAACGTAAAGTCAATAAACCTATTTGATCAATGACTAACTTTTTTCAAAGGTTCATTGCCCTTGGCACTAGTCATGGAGACGTCCACATCTATGACACAAAAAACAGAAGCTTGTCAAAGAAAATCGACAGATTCGATTCCACCGTCAAACTTCTTGAGTTCAGCTTAAGAGACAACATATTAGCGATCTCTACAGAAACGTCGCTGTTCATCTTCACAGATCAAGCTAATGGTGCGAACACTGAATTCGTGAAAGATATGACGCTACCTGCATGTACTATCGCTAGATTTCATCCGAGCATCAATGAGCTGTTGGCGTTTGGTACTATGGATGGTCAAGTGACCATCAAAGATATGGCTAAGGAGGAAGAGATCACAGAGCGCAGGCATTGTGATAAGGTTACGGGGATAGCATTCACGACTGATAAGAAAATTATGGTAACTGCAGGTTAGTAGCTATCGCCTTCTCTACTGATTTTCAGGTTTCAAAATAGAATTTTCTATGACACGTCCAATGGAATATCGTCATAGTGGAGTCGTAGGAATGTGATCTGAACTCAAAAATCTAGTCTGTTGAAAATATATATAAAGAGAAAGTGATCATAACAAAAAAAAATAGGAAAATAATGGGCAAACTCCGCAAAAAGAAGGAAAGTGGATTCGATCAGAAAATAGGATAGGTAACCCGAGCGATACGTATTTCTGCTGGTTGGCTTCATCAGGCCCGAAATGAATGCACATACGTAACTATAAAAGTATATACACATGCCCATACATCCGGATACGGGTGTAACCTGAGGAAACGAAGTTGGAGAGGAAAAAACCACACACGAAGTCCACAACAAGAGAGAAATAGGTATCGCTCGTGTTACTTATCCTATTTTCTGCTCGAATCCACTTTCGTTCATTTTGCGGAATTTGCTCATTATTTTCCTATTTTCTTTTTTGTTATATATATATATATATATATATCGAACCTCATCGGTCCAGTTTTTTATTCGTCGACTATGTGTTCCCTTCACTGTTGTTTAAAAAACAATTTCAGCAACAATCTCGCCGACTTACTCCAGACGATGAAGAAAAAATTCTTCGAAAGCTTGAGATTTTAAGTTATAAGAGTGTACTTTTGCAATACTTTGCCTACCCAAATAAATTAAAGGATATATATATGTATATATATATACTTCGAAGTTGAGTCATTTATTTTAACAGTGAGTAGATCTGATCAAAAGAAATGTTTTTTTCATATAACATTTTTCTGGTAAAATTAAAGTAACAAAGTTATAGCCCTTTAGTGGTTTGAGTACCGCCCTGTCTCAATAATAATATTATGTGCTCGTGTTTGGCAACAAGCCCAGCTCTGCGTCGAGCAAAACAAACCTTTTCTAATATTCATCGTCGTCTTGTTGAAACTGGTTCTGTCCGAAAAGGAACATCTGAAGGTAGACCTCTAAGTGTGATAATACCTGAAATTGAGGAAGCAGTGCTGCACGAAGTCGAAGAACATCCTGAAACGAGTACGAGGAAGATCGCTAGACACTTAAATATTTGCCATCAAATTGTTTGGAGAATTTTAGTGGATTTTTGTTATATCCTTGCCATATTTTAAGAGTACAGGCATTGCTTCCCATTGATTTTCCAAGGCGTGTGGCCTTTTGTCAGTGGTATCATCAAAAAATTACACAAAATCCGCAATTTGAGTCAATGGTTCTGTTCACGGACGAAGCAAATTTTTCTCGTAATGCCATTAAGAATTTCCACAATAATCATTTGTAGGCAGAAGAAAATCCCTATGCCGTAACCAAAACCCATTTCCAACACCAATTTTCGGTTAACGTATGGGCAGGAATTACTGGCAACCACTTTATTGACCCATTCTTGTTTCCGGACGACTTGACGGACAGACTTACCTCAATTTCCTACAACAACAGTTGCCTTTGCTGCTTGATGATGTTCCGGTAGTAATAAGAAACAATACGAGTATGTGGTACATGCAGGATGGTGCACCAGCGCATTGCAATGTAGCGGTTCGTAATTATTTACAAACTGTTTATCCAAATCATTGGATTGGCCGCGGTGGGGCCCAAGAATGGCCACCAAGGTCCCCAGACCTCAACAGTTTAGATTTGTTTTTGTGGAGCTATCTTAAGACACTAGTATACACAAGTCCCATTAACACTGTGGAGGAATTAAGAGAAAGAATAGTTCCAGCTTGTGATAGAATAAAAAACACTCCAGGGATATTTCAACGAGTGCGCAATTCCGTGAGGAGGGCGGAAGTATGCATACTAAGTGCCATTTCGTTAGTTTTAATGTTCTGTTTATGTCGTCAGTTGTTGTTGTTCATTACCCCTAATGTGTTTAATTTTTTCAATTAAATTAATAATAATTTTACAAGTTAGACAATAGAACGGTTTTTATATTTTTTACTCAAAAATGGCGCATCGAACGGAAACAATTCAAGAGAGATCATTTGTGTTAAATTGAACGGGGAATCCAAAAATAATTATGATTTGCCAAAAAACTATTGGAAAAAATCCCGTACGCACGCCACTGTTAAAGCTAAAAATTTTTTTTGCTTTGAAAAATATGCAACTTTATTAACTTTCACTACGTACTAAATATCAGTGAAATATTTGAAGCAGTTCTGAAAATATTAATTAATTTTTTCCTAAAACTTCAACACCCCGAGTTTTTGTAAGGAAACATTTTTGCACCATAGTTTATAAAGCAAACTAACATTAATTTTTCATGTAGATTCACACCCTTGAATATTCGCATATCATTAAGAAACACCCTGTATATATACATATACAACAAAAAATAGGAAAATAATGTGCAAAATCCGCAAATCGAGTTCAGAAATCTTTTGTAACCGATCCACGGCTGTTTTCGGGATACGTAAAGAGGTTAAGAAATTCAATAGCTTACCCAATAGTTAGAGAGAGTTAGGGCGCAAGATGGGAAGGTAGTGGGTAATTTATTTCCAAAGCACTTTAGTGGTGTACATAATGGTTCTGTGTATCATATACCCTCAGTTTTATGTGAGAAGACAAGATATATTACTAAACAATTTTTCTTTCGAGAAAGTATTTAATAAAATCGTAAGTCTACGAGTGAAGTTCAGCTCGAATCCTGACCAACTTCCTGAGGTATTTCTCATAGAATGCATCCTTACAGTTACTAAACCTTTGCAGCTTATTTGTAGCATGTCCATTCAGATAGGTACTTTTCCTGACTCTTGGAAGTACCGTTATATTAAGCCAACTTTTAAGTAGGGAGACATTGAAGATATTACCAATCGAGGTATATGTACCCAGTCATCAATTTCGATAGTGTTTGATAGCCTGATATATGATCAACTGAACTGGAGTTGCCATGGAGAATTTGGTATCTTGGCAACTCCTTGGAAAAGGGTCACCAGGTGGATGCAATTTAGACGGACTTTCCCAAGGTCTTCGACTGAGTGAACTTCGACATCGTATTAGCAAAGCTGTCATCATATGGTTTTTCAAAAAACACTGTTAGGTGCTCAGAGAGCTTCGTTAAGGGTAGGACTCAATCTGGAAAAATCAGTGGGCATCTGTCTTCGAACTTCAAGGTTACATCAGGGGTCCCATTGTGCTCCTATCTTCTTCGTTTTGTTTGTGAATGACATCCCTAGTGTTCTAATGGATTCTAAAGAACTATGTTTGCTGATGACCTGAAATTTACAGGACAATTACGGTGAAAGGGACATGGTGGGCCTTCAGCGGGACCTTGATGCGCTGTGGTAGTGGACACAGCTTAATCATTTGCATTTAAATATTGGTACATGCTTTTCCATAACTTTCTATAAAGGTAAAAGTAGAATTTCGACTGACTTAAAATAAATAATGATACGCTCTCTAATAAAGGCTTAAGATTGACCATATTCTTAAGGTAAGTATAAGTGGCATGATGCTGGACTTTGCTGTAAGTGTTTTTTAATCAGTACCTTCCGAAATTTATTCTGGACCTTGGAAAAATCAAATCAAGAATAGTATGGTCTCCTCAATACCAATCCGATGAAGAACATTTAAAACGTATCCAGCATAAATTTTCACGTCTTCCAACATTAGAGGTGAGCTTAAACATGTTGAACATAATATCCATTTACCTACATTGGAACATAGACGATTGATCTTTGATACCTTCCAGATTTTATCGAAGCTCACCGATTGAGAGACTTTGTTAGTACAGATAAATTTTAATATACTCTGTACATTGCGTAATAGCCTGTTTGCAATTAATTTCCATCTGACAAGTTATTCGAATTCGAATAGATTAGAAGAAGCCAAGCCTATAATATGATTACATTAAATTGTTTGTCGCCCAAATTGTATAGTTTTAGTGCATATTTTTGGATGATTTGTCTTCCATTGTCTACCAAGGGACAAACCAAAACATCGGCGTAGTTTTTTCTACTCTGTAACAATTTTTGAGTTCGTAATTGGCGTATATGATCCATATGTTTTGTTTGTTTGTTCTGCTTAAGATTTATTTAACATGATTGCTACAATTACAGTCTTCTAAAAAAACTAAACAATTACACAAGAGAAAAAACAAAATTTGCATCTCTATGAATTTTCACTGTCCATGAAATATTCCTTTAATTTTCTTTTAAACATCTTCACATTACAAGTAGTCTTTATATGATTATTCAGTTTATTAAGTTCAAGTAATCCTTTCTGAAATATTGATTTACTAGTTATATTACTATTGCAATTTTGTAAATGAAAATCTATATTTCCTCTTGTATAATAATTGTGGTAATGATTATTCAATTCTATGTACTGTTCTAAATATTGTGGCAAAAGATGATTTTTTATTTTAAATATAAATATCAGACCAAATATGATATGAAATTTTTTATAATCAAACACTGCAATTCTTGTAACATAGATTTTATTTTGATGTACTTACTTTTATTCAATATTATTCTCACAGCTTTATTTTGCAAGACTTGTAATTTCAAGAATTCAGCTTCATTGGCAGTGAACAAGATCGTTGAACAATGTAGTAAATGCTGTAGAATAATTGTATTAATTATTTTCTTGTGGTTCATTGTTTTTTTACTTTATTTGGTTATCAAAAAGTGCCCACAAAAACGATATATTTTTTACCCTTGGGTGTAATCACGTAGAATAAGGCAAAGATACTATCACAGTTAATGTTAATAAACAATGGTAAATTAAATAACGCAAAAAAAATAAAGTAAATATTTATTAACCGTCCAGCATATGAACAATTTTGCTTAATACTCAATTTTGGAAGGTGAATAATAGGACATTCTCTTCATCAAACAGCAATACGGCGGAATATCTGATATTGGAAATAGTGGGACACCTCACATGGATTCAACTCGGTTTTTCTAAATTGTTGAGCATAATTTGTAAATTCCTGCTGTTATACCATTGTCACTATATA